ATATTAAATAGAGGTAGCTTTTTATTTTGCAGATACCTGCATTTATGCTATATTGATATAAAGTAAAATTATTTAAAGTGAGAAAAAGAACACTGCTCTGAGAGTCAAAAGGTATTTAAAAGAGAAAGCTTTACACCAGACTCACTTACAAATTTAGATGCTTAAAGAAAATATTACTAAAGAGAAATCATTGAAACAGTGTACACTGTAACCAAGTGAGATTTATTCTAGGATTGTAAGAATATTTCCATTCTTTTTAATGCACTATACTTTATCATATTAATAGGTCAAATGAGAAAAATCAAAATTGTTTTAATAGATGCCAGTAAGACACTTGCTAAAATTTAAAATCCACTCCTGATTAAAAACAAAAAAAAACAATAAAAGCCCTTGACAAAGTACAAGTGGAAGAATATTTCACATGTACATGTATATGTTCACTTATATTTATATATTCTGTATATTTAGCATCATGATTCTAAAAGTAAAGCATTTTTGACTTCCACTTCAGCAGTTTGGTGGATTAGCCTACTCCATTCCCTCCATAAAACTGATGGCCACTGCTGCTGAATCCTCGCACCAAGAGTCTGCCACTTCCTTGAGTGCCAGCTTCCTTCTGCCTTCACCCCACTTGGATTCACCAAAAGTTAGGTGTGTGTTTATTCACAAGCCTGTTTACACCATTGTGTTTAGCATTGTAAAGTTATATAAGTTAATTTAAAATTATGAAAACTGATGAACTAAGAGAGGCAAAAAAAAAAGAATTCCCAGGAAAATGGATGCTTTTAAAAAGTTTGAGAAAGAAGAGTCATTAAAAACAACTGTCAAAGTAGGTGTGAGCAGGACAACTAAGATTTGGAAGAGATCCAGTAGAAATTCTGCGCTGTGATATGCTAGAGTCTTTGAGTTCTCTTTTTTTTTTTTTAATTGATGTAACATTGTTTATAACATTAAGTTTTATGTGTACAACATTATATTTCAACTTCTGTGTACACTGCAGCTTGCAACCAAAAGTTTAGTTTCCACCCATCGCCATATGGTTGACGCCCTCCTTGCTCATTTTGCTCTCCCCTCATCCATCTTCCCCTCTGGTAACAACTACTCTGTTCTCTTTATCAGTCTTTTTTTTGTTTCATTTAGTTAGTTTTTTTTATTATTATTATTCCACTTAAGAGTAGAGTCATACAGCATTTGCCTTTCTCCATCTGACTTATGTCACTTAGCATAATACCTTTGAGGTCCCTCTGTGATGTCACAAATGGCAAGGTTTCATCTTATTTTATAGTTGAGTAGTATTCTGTTTCATATATAGAGAGAGAAAGAGAGAGAGTAAATAATGCTGCGATGAACATGAGTGCATATATCTTTACAAATTTTAGTTTTTGTTGTCTTCGGATAAATTCCCAGAAGTGAAATAGCTGGGTCATAAGGTAGTTCTTAATATTTTGAAGACTCTCAGTAGTGTTTTCCCTAGTGACTGTACCAATTTACATTCCTACCAGTGGTATGTGAAGGTTCCCTTTCTCCACATCCTGTCTATAACATTTGTTATTTCTTGCCTTTTTGATAATAGCTATTTTAACAGTCTAACAGGAATGACATAGATCTGAGCAGTATCTTCCTGTGTATGTCTCTTCAGGCAAGGGAAACAAAAACTAAAAAGCCACACAGCAAGAGAAACCATCAAAGAAACGAAAAGACAACCTACTGAATAGGCAAAGATATTTTTAAATTTGATAAGAGGTTTATGTCCAAAATATATAAAGAACTCATACAACTCAACAATAAAAAACCAAATAACCTGCTTAAAAAATGGGCAGAGAATCTAAATAGACATTTTTCCAAAGAAGATGTATAGATGGCCAACAGGCACATGAAAAGATGCTCAACATCACTAATTATGCAAATCAAAACTAAATAAGATCTCACTTTTCTTTCTTCTTTAAAGAGACTGGAACTCAGGAAAGAACTATAGATCTCCCATCAGTGGAGCCACACTTCCAAGAATAGGCTTTGACCTTTCTTTAAAAGATTGGCACGTGAGTGTACATTTATATATTTTAAACTTAAAAAATGTTTAAGGGGATAATGTTCAACTTTTTTTCATGTCCCACTTTAATCTACTTTTTCAGACAACTGACTATACAGTGCCTCCATTTGTACCAGATAGAATATTGAGAACTTTCATGTTTTATTAGAAAGGAGGTGAACTTAGGGCACATGTGAGTCTTGAAAAACTCAAGAAAAGCAACTGGGAAAAGACACACAGGTGCTTCTTAGTTCGTCACATTTGTTATGTATTTGCAGTTGTGCCTGATGAGATGCTTATCCTGTGGTCCAGGATAGGAGGCCATGATGGCTGGTCACCAGTGAGGAGCACGAGCGGGTTTCCTTTTAAGGTGTGCTTTTGCTAGAACATGAGCCACTGTGGGTTTAGTTGCAACAAGATGACAATACCTTTAATAAAAGTTCAGCAAGGTGGTCAGGTATAAAATAAATACGCAAAAGCCAGTGGTTGTCATTAACAGCAACTTGTTATAGAATACCTTTTTTAAAAGATAGCCCTGTTCATAAAGACATACATTACCAAGAAATGTTTGGGACCTCTATGAAGAAAACACTAAATGAAAATTATATGGGTAATTAAGGAAGACTGGAGTACATGATGGGAGACATTCTGTTTCCTTGGATAAAGAGACATTGTACATCAAATTCTCCCCCAAATTAATCTGTGAATTTAACATCCAGAACAAAGTATCTCTATATTTTGTTTGCTGTGTATACGTTTCATTTTTAGTCTGGTATTTTGAAAGAAAAAAATACGAGAATAACTGGGAAATTTTGTAGAAAAACAGTGGAAGGGACTTGTAGTGCTGAATATTACAGAGTCCAACAGAACTCTAGTAACTAAAACAGTGTATAACTGGTGCAGAGATCCGATCAGTGAAAGAATTGGGAGTCCAAAACCACTCTAGTTTCAGGAAGAAGTGATGGGTTATTCAGTAAGTGGTGCTGGAACAGCTGGTCACGCAGCGGGAGAGGCAGTACAGCACACCAGTGACGTGCAGACTGACGATACACTGCCTCCGTTCAAGTCCCAGCTTGCCAGTACTTTGTACCTGTGATCTTGGACAAATTACGTAACCTCGCTGTGCCTTGCCTCCTTCATCTAGTCTCCCTATAGCATTATTGCAAGGATTAGATAGATTAAAATCTGTAGAAGTCTCAGAGCAGGACTGTCATGTAGAATGTACCTATTAAATATTGGCTAGTCGATCATTTAGAGGGAAAAAAAGGTCTAATCCCTATCTTTTACCCCATACACTCTCATAGTTAGTAAATTGAAGTGGATTAAAGATCTTTTTAAAAACTTAAAAAAAAAAAAAAAGCTTGGTTTGGTCATCAAAGCCAGAAAACATAAAGCATTGATCAATTTGTCTATAAAAGGGTAATGTTGGAAAAGTGCAAACAGCTAGGAAGGTACATTTGCGATGCATATTCCAGAGAGATTCCAGAGATCCTTAGCTTTTTAAAAGACATTGTTTTTAAAAAACAAATACACAGCATGACAAATACTGCTGGTGTCCACTCAGATCCTTTTACCAGTCCGGTGAACCCCTCCCCCAGCTGCTGCAGCTATTGGGTACTAATGGTTTATCGTCACCCTCCCCCAGAGGATTGTCCTGGGCTGATTGATGGCAGCTTACCCAGAGATGCCTGGGAAGTTTTACCTGGATCCCTGGAGTTTAGCCCATGGCAAATGCCTGATGCAGGGTATTATTGCCCACCTTCTGGCCTCTGTGGTGCAGTTTATGCTCCTGAGCGCCCCATGGGATTAGGTTTAGGTGAGACTTCTCCCAAAACCACGTTTCTGTCTCTTTTCTTCTCCTGCTCTGTCCTGTTTCCCTAAGTCCCTTATAGAGCTCTCTCAAGAAATCACTTGCGCAAGAATCCTCATTTCAAGTGCCGCTTCCAGGGAACCTGACTTAATAGAAAATTGAGCAAAGAAGGTTGACCCAGAAAAATGCTCAGTAAACCTGAAGATGCTGAACTTTTTTAGTAATCAGGGAGAAATCGTCAAAAATACATCTCTTTTGCTGATTGGGTTGAAAAAAAAAGATTTATAAAGATTGTGGGGAAAGGCAGTAACATATTGTGGAAGGGATAATTTGATACCAACCTCATAGATATTTCTATAAATGTATTTCTTGAAATAACTGGGTAGGTGTAAAGGATGCATGGATAAGGATAGTCATTGCAACAATATTCAAAATGGGGAAATGGAAGCAACCTGAATGCCCAGTAATGATTGAATTGGTTAAATGATCCATTGTACATTGAAACATAAGACGACCATTTATAAAGATGTCTGGAATAAGTTGTTCACTGGAATACAAAGTCATAAAATTAAATGTACAGTGCTTGTATGTAATGTGCACAGAAATCATCGAAGTGCCATGAAATTAGGATGATTGTTGATGTTTGCTTTCTTCATTATTCCTTTCCATAATTGGCTTAATACTTAATAAGTATGTTACTTGTTCAAAGGGAGAGGAGATTTTTTCATATGGTGGGTAAAGGCAGTATGATAGACGTTAGGACACAGAGGAAAAAATACAACAGGAACACTCTTGAGGCTAATAGAGGCTAAGTCAGGGTCAGGGATGGCTTCCAAGGGGAAGTACAGCTAACCTGAAGGGGAGGACTGAGGGGAAGTTATACGGTGGGGTGGGGTGGGGTGGGAGGAGGAGCCTTCCAAGGAAGCTGACACAGTATGTAAGAACAAAAGCAAGCGTCTGGATTTTCTGAGGAGCTGAGAAGTCAGTAGAGTTGGAATTTCACATTTAGCTAGAAGACAGTGAGATATAGATGAGAATAAAGAGTCCGATTTCGAGAATTTTAGAGACCGTTAAGATGTTTTTGATTTCATCCTGAGGGAAGTGGGAAGCCATTGAAACACTTTGAAGAGGAGAATGACTTGACTTGACTAGATTTGCATTTTAGAAAAATCACTCTACCCGCAACTTGATGAACAGACGGGAGGGAAGTAAGCTGGGGGCATTTGAGAAATCCTGGAGTTGTCGTGGTGCTCTGAACTCGGAGAGTGGCCCCGAGGGTGGGAGGAAATGGACAGATTACAGTGCTATGTAGTAGTATGCTGGTAAGGAGTCTTGGTGGTTGTCTGAAAGGGGTGAGGCAAAGGGCAAGTCAAGAACAACTCCTAAGAGTCTCTGTTGGCCAATAGGACGTTCCCTTCAATGAGAAAAGAACACAAGAGACAGATTGTGGGCACAGAGCTGGGTCAGGTGGAAAGAAAAGGAACTTACAAAAGTTGATCGCCCACCTGTGTGATGGAAACTTGAAGGGTTTGCCTGACGCCTTAGCTTTTCCATTGGCAGAGGTAACTGAGCTGGCTTTGTTATAATGGAACTTATTCCACGTTGGTTCTCATGCCCTCTACCTCTGTCCTAGTGCAAGTCTTTATATGCAGCAACACAAAAGTGTTTTAACCCCTTCCTTTCTTCTCTTCCTTACCTTCCAGCTCTTGTGGGGAAGGGGACTTGCCAAAGACATAAAGAGAAAACTTGGCCACGTAACAACACACCCATGTTACGCTAGGGGAGACATCAGTACTAGCAAGGGAGGCGTTGCCTGTGTTGTAGGTGCTTTACCTGGAAGAAGTGGAAGGACCCTGAGCCGTAAGGATCTGATGAGAGCTAGGACCCTAGAGAGAGGGCTGTGGGGATGGGGCTGGGTGGAGATAACAGAGAATGAAGCTCCTGATGCCCCTAGGAGGTAGACTCTACAGATTGTTAGGATCCTGGATGGAAAATATTTCAAGCCATCCTTGCAACTCCGTGACCAGCTAACTGGAAGACCATCTGCTTATGAATTGTGCCTCTCTGCCGTCTTAACGTGTTAGGGGCAGAGCTAAGAGGTTATGAGTGTTATCCTATCTAGAGTGAGTTTGCGGGGAGGGGTACCAGGGCTAGTGTTTCACATTGGCCTTCATACATTGCCTCAAGTGCTCAACTTTTCCCTTAACCTTGCCCTTTTCTGCGTTCTGTCTGCTGCCTGGAACACTGTGCTTGGATAACTTCAGTGTATCCTTCAGACTCCTCTGAAAGGTCCCTACCTCAAAGAAGGCTTTATAGAAATCCACACCCCCTCCCCGTCAAATGATGGAGCTCCCCAGCTTAGACTGCACTCTGTACTTTTTACTTCCTTGTACTTACCACATGTTGTTACCATATATATTTATTTCTGTGATTATTTCTTTAATATTCTTCTCTTCCAGGAAGTTAGGGCAGGAACAGGTTTTCTCATCACAGGTCTTAGTACCTATCCCAGCATATGGCAACAAAAAAGCTCCCCTTGGAGTTTTATCAATCATTGGCCAGGTTTGCTCATGAGTGGCCTTCAACACTACCAGCCAGTGTTTACAATAATTATTAAACCTCAGGTGAGTGAAGCCCTGATGGGAATGGTTGAAGGAACACCTCAACTTGCAGTAATTATTCTGGCCACCAGGGGTCTCTTTCTCCCCATCTGGGAGCCAAAAGAGCTTGAACTCTCCTGTGTCTTTATGGTTTTTTGCAGCCTTGCTGTTCAGTGTGGCTGGAGTATACCACCTCTGCATCACCTGGAGGCTGTTAGAAATGCAGACTCTCAGGCCCCACCCTCAGTGGAGGAATCAGAATCTGCATTTTAACAAGCTCCCCAGGTGATCTGTTTACGCGTGAAATACTGAGAGGTGCTGTTCCATAGGACATTCCTAATCTGAAAAACTTGAAAGACACAGAAAAACCCCATCTAAATGTCCTTTTCACTTGGTTCTGTCCCACTATAATGAAAGAAGTAAAGAGGTTTAGAATTTGCTTTTATTATGAATATAAAATGTACATACAACATAATATACATTTACACATTTACAATTCGCAGTTAATTTTCATCTCTTTTGAGCAAACTCAGTTCTGCCTGGCCCAGTTGGCCCGCTCCTTGCACTGCTCTCCACTTACACTCAACACTTTCTCTTCACCTTGGTACGTACAGCACGCGACTTGCTGAGAAATACAGGCCCAGGCGTCAGATGGCCGGCTTTACTGTCCTCGCAGAATCACTTTCATCTGCTTCCTTTCCTGTCACTGCAGGCCTTCCATGGCCTCAAAATCCCACACTAAAAAGTGAGGGGAAAAGAAGGCTGCAGTAATCCCCTTTGTCTTTCAAAAACCCCTGAAACATCTTAGGGATGACCCCTAAGTAGGCGCTGGCAGCGTTACTGGTTAACACAACTTAAGAACTATCCATAGGAAGGCTCTGATGTATTACATACACACTAAGCTTGTTCGTAAATGGACGATCAGGAAGGGTCTGAATACCAGTGGTCTTGAAGTAAATAAATAAATAAATAAATAGACGAGAATAAATACAAATAGAGTGAGTTTCACTAAGGGAGACGGCAAGCTCTATATCCCTGTGCTTTCTCAAACCATCACCGGGTGCAGCTTTACCACAGGTGGACAAACAGAAACAGGATTTCATGACGAGTGGCTCTTTGGGGTGGTGCTTTCAAAATGCCGGGGAAGAGCACCCCGATGGGGGAGTCTGTCGTTTTTCTCAGAAGGTCGCTATGCGAGAGGCTTTGTAGGAGTTCTCTTTGAGGCTGTCAAATATTGCTTTGGTTCCATTCTGCCAGTGTAGCACCAGGTCCATCGGGGTCTTTCCAGCCTAATCAAAATAGAGGAAGAAATGTGACTTACCGAAGGGAGATGTCTATAAATTCACCTCTTCTGTGTGCGCGCGCGCTTGTGTGTGTGTTTAATGAGGTAATGGACAGATGTATGTTATTGGAGTGTTTCAGGAATCCCATGATGAGTGATTTGCAGCTTATATTCAAACCAGCCCTTCACTGTTTCTCAAGGGAATGCTTTTGGTATTTCAGATTAGCAATGTTTTTTTTTTCCTGTGAGACTATCCCAGGTACTGGTAAAAATCTTAGTCCCTAGACACTAATGGCACGGGTTAAGCCAAGTCACTTTGAAATTCAAAAAAAATGCCTCTGTGCATGTCCAGTATCCTGCAAAATGAGCATGAGGAGGTAGCAGTATTCTTCTTGATCGAGAACCAGTTCCTGTCAATGTGGAAATTGATTCCTAATGGATAAAAACTGGTGGTAGAGCTGCTTCAACATCTTAGGTTAAATACGCAGGTACTGCTCCAGGGGATAGATTTTTCACAACTGCTCAGAAGTTACATTGAGCTCTCCCAGGAAATTTATTTTCTTGGAGGTGATATCCAAGAATGCTGTATGAATAAATAATTTTTGAGACCAACCTTTTTTTTTCTTACCTTATGCAAATGCCTCAAGATATTTACAAAAATTAAAACTATGTCACCTCTCAATTCTTGTCTTTAAAATGAGAGGTCCTAAAATTTTCCATCTCTATTCATTCAGAAGTCTCTCTCTATCCCAGAGATTGCAGACTGGCAGCTTTGAGATGCAGATCAGTCTAGAGACCTGTTTTGGCCCAAACAGAACTTAGACTGTTTTTTAAAGTTGGAATTCGTTTGCAATCTTTAGATATTAAGAGATTTCCCAACTGGATTTATGATCTCTGAAAAAATTGGACCACTTGGCAGCACAATACCCATGATTCCACAGAGCAACAGGGGACCGGCTGAAGAAGGCCCAGTGCCTGTAAGTTCTGTGCAGGCAGCCCACAGCCACTATTTAAGGCATTCGTGTGATCTCCCTGGCCCCTGTGTGTATTTGAGTTAGTGGCCCTGCAACTTTTATTTTGAACTTCTCACCTTGTAGCATCTTCCTTGAGGAGCACTCATCAACAGATATGAAGACAGAGTTTTGGACAACAACAGAGTAATGTATTGTGTGTTGTTTCCAGTTCCCTTCAAGATGCTATCCAGTAGCTTAGAGGCCTTTTTTGGAACATCCATCCATTGAGTCAATGGCATTAGTAGTTCCACAACCCTTATACTGGCATCTAACTGATAATTCAGAGCCATGAGCCCTATTTCTATATTTTGGGCTATTCCATGAATTCCTGGAACCCTTACCTGGCTGCATACACAGAATCCCCAAATCTGTATGCTGTTTATCTCTGTAGCTTTGAGGATTTCATTGAATCTACTCTTTCTGCTGATTTGTTTAAATTATTTGATAAAACCAATCCAAATTATCAAGGATGAGAAGACCCTACTGTTAACACTTTCCCACCTGAAGAAGTCTCTGTTTATTGCATTTATTTTCTGTTCTTGTCACCAGGATAGGTTTTTGGTGGGATTTTTTTGGGTGGTAAAGTATTCCTCTCAGTCTCATAGGAACACAGTAAGAGGAAGAAATTATTCACAGTATAAGATGACAGTGTAAGAAAGACTTCCTTCTTTGTAAAGTGATTCTCCAAAAGCTTCTTTCAAATTTCTTCTTCAGTACTTTACACTCATTCCTCCCAGTGA